TGAGATTGAATTGGTGTATCATGAGTTCATATATAGAATGAATTTGGACAACATGTTGATATTTCTGGATAAAATTCTAGGTCTAGTATTACTATCTTTTAAACCACATTAGTTGGTTTGGCACACTTGATGGAGGAAAGAATTCCAACATGAAGTGTTTGGTTTTTTATTATAATCCTTCAGTGAACCACCTTTTATTACATTGCTCATTAGTAGAGGTGGCAAACGAGCTGGTTTGAGCATGTTAAAACGGGTTGTGCATTAAAAATAACTTAACCATTGCCCGCCTATATATTATACGGGCTTAAATGGGTTACGGGTTATGCAAATCAACCCAACTAACCCGTTTGAAAAATAATCACCACATCATTTCAATGCAAGAAGATTTTTTTTTCAAATTTTAGTATATAATATAAGAATAACCTGATAAAAACAACTAAAAATAATCAGTCATCCAAAATTAAAAAAAACACACACATATATATATCTCATGGCGCACGGACGCGGGACAAGACACGAACAACAAATTTTCAAAAAATGGGGGATACGACACACTGGGGACACGCTCAATAATATATATATGATTATATGTCCAAATTTAAAAAAAAAATCATTGGAAGGTAATTAAAAATACAAAATAACACTAACAAAAAAAAAAAAAAAAAAAAAGTTTCACTGCTTCAACATCAAATATCATTCGCAAATGCATAACAATTGCATTTCATCAACACATCACATATACCATCCAATGTACCAACCATCATTGGTTACGAAATCCATGAAAACCAAAAAATATCCAATGTATTAACCATCGTCTATTACAAAATCCATGAAAATCACAAAATGTTAACATGTCCAATCCTTAACCAGAGGCAACTTTTACGAAATCTTCAATATTGCATACATCTTCTCCATCTTCTGTAAATAGGATTGCCTCCATAGCTGGTCTGGTTCAATAACTGAGAGGTTAGCTATCCCAAGCATTCCAATATGATCAAGTGAGTCAAAGTTATCTCCCGCAATGTCCCACATTTTTGTCTCTCTTTGCAGGTATTGAGAGCTCTTCCTTTGATAGAAGACGAAGATTGCTATGAATAAACACTAAGTCCTCCCCTCGTTGAGGGAGCATTTTGTTTTTTTTCACCGAGTGAATAAAAGAGAAAGTACTCAAATTTCTCTCATAACAAGATGATGAGGTTTGTTGCACAAGTAGTCTCAAAGTTAATTTTTGAAGTGTTGTTGCATACCATATGCACACCATTATGAATGGAATCATATTCGGAGGATGTCTCAACATAATACCACCAAGTGTAAAATAGGTGGCACATGGATCTTTACACTTGGTGGTAACGCAATATGGAAAAACTTGGTGGTAATGCAATATGGAAAAAAAATTGCGTTATGTTGAGCCATTCTCCGGATATGATTCCATTCATAATAGGTGGCACATGGATCCTTACACTTAGTGGTGTGTATATGGTGTATATGCATCAACAATTCAAAAACTAGCTTTGAGATTACTTGTGAAACTTGCTTTATCATCATGTTGCGAGAGAAATTGGAGTACTTGCTCTTTTATTTACTCAAGTAAAAAGGAACAAAATGCTTCCTCAACGAGCGGAGGACTTGGTGTTTATTAATAGTAATTTTCGTCTTCTATCAAGGAGGAGCTCCCAATACTTGCAAGGAGAAACAAAAATGTGAGACATTGTGGAAGATAATTTTGACTCACTTGATGATATTGCAATGCTTGGGATAGCCAACCTCTCATTTGATGAACCGGCTATGGAGGCGTTCCTGTTTATAGATGATGGAGAAGATGTAGGTGATGGTGAAAATATCGTAGAAGTTGCCTCTAGTTAAAGATTGGATAGGCTTACATTTTTGTGATTTTCATGGATTTTGTCATATACATTGGATAGGTTTACAGTTTGTAGTTTTCATGCATTTTGTAACTGATTATGGTTGGTACATTATTGGAATGACATGTGATGTATTGATAGAATGTAATTGTAATGTCATTTGTGAATGATATTTGATGTTAAAGCAATGATATGTATGTTTTTTAATTTTTGTTAGTGTTATTTTGCATTTTTAATTCCCTTCCAAATTTTTTTTAGACATAATAAATAAATGTAATTATATATATTGAGCTTGTCCGGTTTTTTGAAAATTTGCTTATCTATGCGTCATAGGTGCTAATCGTTTAAATGAGCACCCATTTAAACCGGAATTTTGATTGGGTTTGCAAGATTCAATCCATTTATAATTTTGGACAGGTTTCAAATGGGTTTATCGGCTCGGGTTGAATTTGCTACCTCTACTCATCATCAAGGGATGTTAACTATGGTTTTTTTTTTTTGTTGGAATAGTTACGTGAGTGTTTACTTCTAGAAGCGGTTGCTCTAGGTGAAGTTTTCAGAGGGCATGGGAGGCCTTTTTACTTTGCTGTAATGTGGTGTTTGTGCAGTGAGAGGAATAGGACATCTTTTGAATATGTAGAGAATTCGATTTTGGGTTTGAAAGACAGCTTGTCTCTATTTTTGGCTTAGCAAGATTTTCCCTCGCTTTATTTGATCTTATTGGTTTTTGGGGGAGTTGATCATACACCGTGTACAAGGTTGCATCCCATTTTGTGGCGATTACTTTTCTAATAAAATTTTACTTATAATAAAATCCTTCATAGGAACTACATAATGCTTATCAATTTGCTTTTGAATCCATCAAAATTTGGTGTGTTGCACATCAAATATCATAATTTGACATTTATTTCTTAAACCAATCTGTCACTATGTTACTACTGATCAAAGGTTTCTTATTGTGCTTGGTATTTAGATTGCTTTTATTCACCATCTATAATAGTTTTGTGAATTTTTTACTACACTGCATTTCTTTTTCACATTTTTTTTAATGCATATTGGCACTCAAATATTTACATATATATGCACACAATATGAACATCTGCAAATACTTATGGTGGTTCTGTTTTCTTGGCACAGGCGAAGGCCAAGTCTCATAAGAAAGCCGAGGCCAAGGCACATCACTGAAGGGAGTTTTTGTTTTTTTATTTTTGGGTTTTTTCATAAAAATAATGGATGATGATAGAACTTTGCCATTGTTTCATCTTGGCCTAAACTGTTTGTGGACCATGGTTCTTTACTTGTAGCTCTGCTATTTTTTGAGAATTTGACTGTCACCACTACAATGGCTCTTGAGTTGTAGTTTTGTGAACCGATTGGCGAATTGGGATGATTACATCTCTCCATTAGATTGTTTAGCTTCATTCTGTTATGCGATCTGACAATAATTTTGTCACTTCATTACATCCTGCCAATACTTGTTTTGCCATTTGGTTGTCTTCTTGATCTGCGCATGTTGGAATTCAGTTAGTACTACTTTTGATTGGATGAGATTATAATATTACTGCTAAGTGTTGAAATGCTTGCAAAATCGTTAATCTGCTTCGTTCTCTCCTTTTTGTTTTTCCTTTAGATGTTTGATTTAACTGACCATAGAAATTTTTTGGAGTAATCAGTCACATTGTACGGTTGAGAAATAGGTTGTTCCAACTTGAATTCACAACCCATATTGTTTTTGTTGATAATAAAATGTATTATAAAAGAAGCAAAACAGGTTGTCGAAACCTGTGTACAAAATATAGACAAAAACTTATGTCATTTATTCATCAAAATTTTAATCCAAGGCCAAGTTTGAGAAGTCTCAAAAAAGTTAAAAAGTTATTACTATTTATCAAAAATCAACAATTACGGCTGCATAACTTTCAATACTAATTTTTTCTTACACATTAATTTATACAATTTTTTAATACACATTTTTTTATAAAAAGTCAAAAAGTTAACCTAAACATTCATATTTTCAACCTCAACTTTTTAGTCTAAAAAGATAAAAAGTACATTTATTTAGGATATTCTAAACAACCCCTAAATTTTTTACGAAATTCAAAATATGATTCAAGCAGTGAAACTTTTGCGCAAAATATTAGAAAAATATCTCATTTATTTATCAAAAATTTTGTTGAAATTCTCACAAAGTTCAAAATTTCACAGATCATACCCAAGAATCAACTATATAAAAATGAATGGATTATACTCTCCAATTATATATATACATATATATATATAATTTTTTTATTGTTTTTCAAAAAACGGCTCTTTTTTCCCATCTAAGGTTCTTCTACCTGACCGTTCCAAATAATCCGCTCTTTTTTCCCATCGAAGGTTCTTCTACCTGACCGTTCCAAATAATCTGCATCAAAGCCAAAGGGACCAAAGCTCACCCCTTCTTTTTCTCCTTCCCACTCCAGCATCCCTCCAGGATCAAGAAGATCCATTCCATTCACTTCTGGAGGGACACCCATTCCAGTCCACACGTGGTAACACAAATCCTTGACCCATCTCACATGAATAAGAAGACGAGTCACAAATTCTCCATGCTTGGACATGCAACACTAATTAACATGATTTTACCTTCTCCTAGTAAAATTATTAATAGTAAGAATCTTGTGATGTGCTGCAATCCAGACCAAAATCATCGCAGGAGCCTTTGTTCCCCACACTCCGTTCCAAGGAAAACTGGCCCTTCTCTGACCCGTCAAAAGTACCCTAATAGGATTTCACTTCAAATCTTCAATCTCATGCAACACAAGACATCCTCCTCACCTATACAAGGAATACAATAACGTTGCGCAAGAAGATCCAACATCTCTTCCACCTCACAGACATTCTCCATAGACCAATATCCCCCCCAAAAAAAAGAAAAAGAAAAAAGAAACCCAAATATCAAAAGAAAGAAAAATGTGAGTTATTAGACACGTTTTGCATGTGTGTTATTACATACAATACAAATATCAAAAGAAAGAAAAAAAAATTCCATTAACCCACGTGTGACTGTAGTTGTCTAACCATCAAGAGAATTCATAGTGAATGCATCATTCCCACAAGAATGGGAGCAAAGCATACAACAATTCCAGTGAGACTTGATTGCTAAGTTGAAGAGCTGGTGCGATCATGTTTCACATATAGATTGTTCAAGATTTGATATACAATTTAGTACAAGAAAATTTTCGGGAACAAAGTTTATTTGCATAGATTCCATTCACTTTCTCAGAAATGTCAACATTTCATTCTCTGCTCCACACCAGTTTTTTGAAAGAACATGAAAATTACAATGGAGGATAAGAGAAACAAAACAATTTTTGGTAGTTTCCAAACACGATTAAAACGTTAATGAGTCAGATGACAGTGGCAAGTTGGATAACGTACCTCAATCCATGTCCAAGATTGAGGCCTGTGCCCTGTAAAAACGAAGCACTGTGACAGTCTCTAAATACTCAAGTTTGTAACCCAAAATCGGTCTATATATGTGTGTGTTATAAATAAATCCTGCGACTAGTGAAGGTGACCAAAGCAAATAATATATTTGTCACGAAAATATTGAAGGCTGTTTAGACATTAATTATCATCGGGAAATGACAAGCAGGAAAACTATCTGGTGATTCATTATTTCTATAAGAAAATTCCTCCATTCAATTGAGCTACGGTGCCAACCTCTCAACATGGTTCTAAATATAGGTACTCCCATCATCCCATATTTTTCAGTAATGTAATGGTAAGTGCACATAATTGGAACATAGAAAGAACACAGAAAATGTATTGTGTGGTTGAGAGATATTATTTCAAGTGTGGCCCACATCACATTTAAGATGAATGTCAACCATGCAATGCATTTTATGTGCTCTTTCTATGTTCTAATTTGTGCACTTAGCATTACTGCATATTTTTTTGTCCACCATTGAAAATCCAACCCTGGAGAGTTTAATGTGCTCACAACCAACTGATTGGGTATTAATTATCAAAACTATCCTTAAAACAAGGGGCTGTGGGTTCAATTTGGATAGCCAGTGTGATTATGTCTATAAACTAGTGACAATTTATGGGTCATTTTTGTGAAGCCATAAGTGATTATGTCAGCTGCAAACTCACTAGGATGCAGATACTAGTGACTCAACTATTGTTACATAAAAACCAAAAATAGAGGATACACATTTCCTGTTCAAAATGTAATAAGCAGGAGTTTTAGCTTGCTCTATAATGAAGCTACATCCACTGAGGACGAAACTAACCTGTGAAGAAGCAAAACCTTTTGCCAAAATAGGAAGCAACCAATGCCGAGCAAATAGGGGGAGCAACTACTTCACATAAATAATGCCTTCATCATCAGGGTCATCACCGTCCCAATCCCTGTCTTCCTGGGGTAGTTCAGATGACTCAATTTGGTCATCACCTGGACTTCCTGGAATCTTTTTCTCATTTTTTATCCTATCCAATATTGCAATCACCTGAAAGGGTTATTCAAATTCAACATATTAACATTGGCTGAGAATGCAAGAAGGATGCACGTGCAGTTAATCTACAAGTTTATGCTCACATGAGATTAAGAAATTGACATCATGGTCAGAATTAGTTCATACAACAAAGACTATGATTGTTTCATCAACCAGGACTCTTTTAAGTTCATGAAAGTTGCTAGTAGTTTTAAGGCAAAGAATTAAAATGTGTACACTGTACATGCATAGAAATATCTCTTTCTTCCCTTCATTTTTGTGAATAGCAATAATATCAACAAGAATAAAACTAAATAAATGCATAATCCATGGGCATAAGTACTTCCAAACCTTCATGAAAACAACAAAAAATTGCAACACATGCATGAAAAACAAGAGAAGGTAATGATTTTCCTATAATCAGCAATCACCGGGGGGTGCATCCTATAATCACAACTGGGAACATTTTATTTCAGCTTCGACCTCAATCAATTGAGACATTCCTAATTCTCTGATCAGTTGGCATTTTGTAGGTAGAGATTATTATCTTTTAACACAGATCATAAAGGACCTTGTTTGAACAAAAATTACAATCAATATCCCAACATGCATCATAAATTCCCAAATTTGCTTAGGCATGTGAATGGAGCAAGCACATTTCTAATAATCTCAGTAAGATTACATAATGGATGATTAGAAGGCTCCTCTCAAGGACCATGTACAAGGACTATACCAACATGGTGTACAACTTGCTTGCAGGGTACACTATTTTTCCTCACCAATGAGATCTCCTAAATTAATAGCTGATAAGTCCACAATCACAGCCATCCTTTGCAACATTTAACGGGGAAAACGAGAGAAAAGCTATGAGAGAATTGAGTTATAACTTGTGAAATCGCGATTAAAACATCAAATAATAAATAGATGAATATACATATAACAAAAACAAAAGTTTTACCCTGTTTCCTCGCTCTATGGAGTCGTCTTCTATGAATCGTATTTCAGGAGTCAACCGCAACTTCATACGCTTCCCCAACTCGCTGCGAACATATTTTGACTTTGACTTCAACCCAGATATGGCTACCTCCCTACCTCTTTCATCACCGAAGACAGATACATATACTTTAACAACCTATAGAAATGGAGAAAAACAGTGCCACAGAACACAAACCATATATCATCAAACCAAATATCATCATCCCGTAGTGGACCAGCACCTTACCAGACACTCATATATACCATAGAAAACAAGAAGTTCAGGATGAGATCAAATAACATTCCTTGTTTGTATTAGAAAATGGCACATATGCTGGTTGTCATACTCGTGACTTCTTTGACACCTTAGAAAAGTCTTAAACTCCCTCAAAAACCATGGACAAATTATGCTATCAATCTAGTTAATCATTCAGTGCTGGGGTAGTTGAACAAACAAATATCAAGAATTTTTTGGGAGAAAGGTGTGAGAATATTATGTAAATATATTAGATTGATTGTGTGAATATTAGATTGATTGTAGAATATAGGTTTATTCTTATTTCCTCTTTTAGATTAGGTCTATATAACTTGGTTGTACTCTTTGTATTATTGAGAATTTGAACATATGAATTCATTCAGAAATCTTACATGGTATTCGAGCTAGATTCGAAATCTTACAACCATTGTCAAATCTTCTCTGGTTCAACTTTCTGGATTCATGCGACCTATCTAAGTTCGAATCGTAATCCACCAATTGTGGTTCTCTGGGTTTGGCATGTCTGGTCATCTGTTTGAGTTGACTCATCTATTATGATCGACCCATCTGGTCATCTGATTCGTAGTGCTGGTTCGTGGCTAGTCCTTGCTGTGCTGTACCCTCTTTGGCTCTCTGGTCTGAAGTTGTGAAGGTTCTCTAACTAGTGGTCTGAAGTCGCGACATTCCTGTCTTGGTCTGATCGCGATTGCGAAGAGTCTCTTGTCTTCGTCCGTCGATCTCTTACTCTGGTTTGATTCTTTCTCACTTGCGAGGTTCACTGATCTCTCTCGTTTGGGCCTCATCGTGAGGTCTACTATCGCTGGTTATTTGTTCCATGGTTGGTTCTCTGATTCTACTTCTTAGAGAGGTCATTGGAAGTATCACTGTCCCTAGAAGGGACGTTTGACTGCCTCATCTACTTAACAGTCTCAGACCCAGTTCCGAGCTCTTTCTCTGAGCACTTTTCAGCCTCTCCCCAATTCTATTGCATTTGCTCCGGCTTCTAATCCTAACTTGGCTTCATTGAGTGCTCAGATTAGTTAGCTTCAACATAGACTGTCTACTTCCTAGTCATCCCCGTCTGCCTCCGTTGTTTTCTCTCTTCATTCAAGTTTGCTTGTGTCTTCTTTAGATATTTCTTCATTTGTCTGGCTTTTTAACTTAGGTGCCTCTCATCATATGACTCATCATCTCTCTTTACATCAAAATTGTACTCCTCCTCCCTTTTCTATTACTGTCAATACTGCTAATGAGTCTGGTATGTCTATTATATCTGTTGGGTTTGTCCTACCGTCTACTATGTTTGCTATCTCTATTCCATCTGTCTTATATGTTCCTCAATTATTTGTCAATTTATTATCTATAAGTTAGCTTGATGCCTCTGGTTTTAATGTTCTCTTTTCTTCTATCTGTTCTATGCACGATCAGATGTCCAAGCAACAGATTGAGGCTGGCCGTAGAGTTTGAAACCTCCATGTGATAAAAAGCTTGCATCTATCTATGACTACCTCTCCGATTGCCTTTTTCTCTTTTCAGTTAGATTCTCCGTCAAATCTTTTCTATTTGTGGCATTCCAGGGTAGGTCATTTGTTTGCTGACCGCCTATGGTCTTTAACTCAGTTAGGTATACTGGGTAAAATTTCTCCTGGTCAACTTAATGAGTGCCGGGGGTGTAAACTTGCCAAAATGACATCCTTACCTTTATGTAAAAGTACTTTTATATCTGATACACCATTTTCTTTAGTTCTTACTGATGTCTGGGGTCATTCTCTTGTTCTCACTAAAGGGGGTTCTGCATACTATGTGTCATTTATTGATGACTGCACTTGTTATACTTGAGTTTATCTTATAACTCACAAGTCTGACTTGTACTAGATATACCATACTTTCAGTTTATGGTCACTACACAGTTTGGGTCTACTATTAAATTGTTATTGTCTGACTTGGGTGGGGAATATTTTAAAATTGAGTTCTATGAGTATTTGGCCAATTTGGGTATCATTCACCAGACTTCTTGTACTGATACACATGCCCAAAATAGTCGAGCAGAGCGTAAACATTGTCATCTCTTTGAGACAATTAAGTCTCTCCTTCTCTTTGCCTCTGTTCCGACCCCTTTTTGGGGTGAAACAGTTCTTACTGCTGTTTTTTTTTCTAAACCGTATGCCTACTTCCCTTCTCTTTGGTCGTTCTCTTTATGAACCCAACTTTCCAATTAATCCATCCTGCGTGTTTTTGAGTCTGCTTGTTTTACCCTTCTTCACCATAAAGATAGGACCAAACTTAGTGCCTGATTTGCTCTGTATATCTTTTTGGGTTAGAGCATCCATATCAGCCTCAGCACATTTTGAGTCAAATTATAACCCAAAATCCACTTTTGTATTTTAGCTAGCCTCTTTTTTATATACACACTTCATCAAACTCTCTATTTTAAAATTTTATTTCATTAAAATATTATTTTTTATTCTTTTATCTTTTTCAATTTAAATATATTAAAACAGGTATAAAATAAGACCCAAGAGAGCACCAGGGCAACAACAGAACAGCAGCAACACAGGAGCCAGGGTGGTCGACCGGGCGATCGACCGGTTAAACAAAATTTCAATATTTTTCTTCTTCTGATGGGACATCCTGGGGGAAATCCTAGGAGACGACCCCAGCTTTGCTCCAGTTCAGAGAGAGAAGAGAGAGAGAACCTAATGAACTTCCAAGATGGTGAGAATGAAATTTGTGTGATGGCTCTGGTAAGTGTTGACAGTAATGGTGGTATGAGAGATAGTGTTCTTGTTGGCGGGAGAAAGAAGCGCGGGAAAGAAAATATAATAAAAAATTGATTACCCTGTGAACAGTTCCTCGCTTTATCAGAGGAGGAACTGTAGCTTTGTCAAAATGAATGAAGCCCCTAGCGACTCTGATGCATTGACATATTTATAGTTTGGCTCTCTACAATAGCGTCAAAGTTGTTGTAGCGACTCTGAGGCTGATGTTCTTACAGTCTTACCCAGAAAGGCTATTATTGTTACGGCTCTGTTTCTTGTCACCATGTTGCCTTTCTCAAATGTCTGTCTTACTTTCAACTTCCTTCTATTACTGTCTTGGTTTCTAAAAAGGATTTAGTTCACATTGATCCATTTCCTTCTGAGGTCCCTCCGGATAAGTACATCTCTACTGTTTCCCACGAGCTTGTTCTCTTTACCACCCCTCCTGCTGAGTCCTTCTCAACTGACCCCCATGAGTCTGTTCCCTCGTCTCCTCCTCATTTTTCTCCAATCCGACTCCATCGCCGTCTCCTCCTCTATTGTTAGTCTATTCTAGTCGCAAGGCTCTCCCTTACCAGTTGTCTCTGCCCTTGCTGCCGATCCTTCTGCCTCTGACAACTCTAATCTTGCCAACTGTAAGTATCCCTTTTGCATCCGAAAACAGGTAGTCAAACAATTGAAAAGCCCAACCCACACTTCTCTTTAAAACCTAAGTATTAAGGAGAGGAAAACTGGAGTCTTATAACCAGTATAGATAAGGTAACTCCCGGCAATGTGGGACACATTCCAACACACTCTACTGAACCAGGACATACAATAGTCGGACAAACGGCCCACAAGTCACAGGCCTAACCAAGCTCTGATACCAAATTGAAAAGTCCAGCCCACACTTCTCCTTAAAACTCAGGTATTAAGGAGAGAAAAACTAGAGTTTTATAACTAGTACAGATGCGGCAATTCTAGGCGATGTGGGACACATTCCAACATAAACTTAGTTTTGCTAAAACATGTTTTTCTCCTTCATATTACACCTTTTTATCTGCTATTCACTCTTTTTTAGAACTCCAGTCTTATAAGGAGGCCTGTTAGGATTCTAATTGGGTTCGAGCCATGGAGGATGAGCTGTTTGCTTTGCAGAAGACTACTACTTAGGAGCTGGTTCCGTTGCCTGTTGGCAAAAATTTAGTTGGTTGCAAATGAGTCTATAACGTCAAGACTCACTTTGATAGTTCTCTTGAGCCTTACAAAACTCACCTGGTTGCCAAAGGTTTCTCATAGGAGTATGGTATTGATTATGAGGAGATCTTTACCCCTGTTGCCAAGATGACTACTATCTGTACTTTGATTTCTATTGCTGTTGTTTGTCATTGGTCTCTCTATCAAATGGATGTTAAGAATGCTTTTTTTAATGGTCATCTCACTGAAGAGGTGTACATGCGTCCTCTCCCTATCCTTCCTCATTTCTCTGGACAGGTTAGTCCTCTTCGGCGTACTCTATATGATTTGAAGCAATCCCCTCGTACTTGGTATGATCGCTTTTAGGCCAATGTCACTCAACTTGGGTTTCATTCTTGTGCCTAGGATTCTGCTTTGTTTCTCCTTCACACCTCTACTGGCTTTGTTGCCTTATTATGTATGTGGATGATATGATCATTACTGACTCTGACTTTTCTGCTATCTTTGAGGTCAAGTAACATCTCTTTTGCACTTTCGAAATGAAATATTTGGGCCCATTCCGGTATTTTCTTGGTATTGAGGTAGTTTCTTCTCCCAAAGCTACTTTCTGTCTTAGCCCAAGTATGCATATGAGGTTATTCACTGTGCTGGTCTTATCGACACTAAGATTTCTGATACCTCCATTGAGCTTAATGAGCTTAATAAATTAAATCAAGTAAGTTATTTAATTTATTTTCAGTGTTATTTTTATTTATTAAATCAGATTTAAATTTTGTTTTTGTAACAAAATAAAATTTGTTATTTATTTATTTATTTATTATTTTGAGTTTGATTTTTGTAATCAAACAAATTCTCTCATTTTCTTTATTTCTTTAAATTCTAATTGTTGTTGTGTACACAATAGAATTAAATCTTTTAAATACAGTGAAGATTGTTCAACAGTTTTGTAAATTGTATGTTGATAAATTAGATTGACAAATGTAATTTTTGAA